GGGTGTTGCAGCATGCTTACATGGCGAGGCGCATGCGCTGTGTCGTGAGTTCCAATCCCGCTTGTTGTGTGTTTATAACGTTATTAATGTGACTGTAATTTATATATCTATTTACATATTGACAGACGTATCTTTAAAATTGGCTCAAAGTGAACTGCAATATTGGTCAAAAATATTGGTTATTTTTGTCCCAATCTTCTGAAGGAAAGTGCAGACTATAAATGGGACTATTTTGTGAATTGTGATGAAAGGTTAATACTGCAATATATTATTCAGTAAACAACACCACATTCGCATTAGCAAAGGCAGTGTAAGCTAAATATGCTGCGATACCTATATTCATAGTATTAATATAATTACACGTAGCCCATGATTCAACAAGTCCAAGAGTGATCAGTTGAAAATATACAGGCCGACTCCTGGACATTACATGAAGCATATTGTAAACTACACACATATGAAGCCATATAATTAATATAAGATAATTCTGTCTGGTACTGTAAGATATATATAATGCGATAACTACAATATTACTACATACTTTACGTCAATGTAAGGGGGTGTTCATCATGGTCATTTCGAGCTGACATTTTCAGTCAGTTAGTATGGTTGATTGGTTGTTTAGTGTGTTTGCCTGCAGTGGTGAGATGCTACACCATGTGATCGAGTTCGAATCTTGCATTGAGTGTTATGTGAATGTTTGCTGTTAATTATGTATACCGCTCTTGGTCATGTTACCAATTGCTTGGCTACCTTTTTCATTAATTGCTGAACAACTCTGTCTCCTTGTCATTCCAACATGACAAGTTTCTGAGTCCTATCCAAGGTCTGATTTACAATATTAGTTGTTTAAAAAGTGTAACCAGAACAAAATGATTTACAGAAATAAACCAATGGTCTGAACAATGGTCACATGACCAAGAGTTGTATCATTTCCGGAACTTTACACTTCGCCGTTTGTCTCTATGTAGAATTATAATCAAGCACAGTTGTTTTTCTACATGCAATGACATTCTAAACATATTGTAATAATTATAACATTCACCATACCAAGCAATCGGTGCTGTAAGCTAAACATTGTGTTCTACTCTGATTTAGTAGCTTCAATTACAATCAGTTAAATAAGAATCATTGTATCAGAGATAACAACATGAATATGCATACGTCGATTCATCAATACAATTGTTCAGTCAAGCAGGCTTGCTAAAATCTTTCGTTTAGACTCATTTATCGTACCAATTCGAGCGTGTGCAGTAGTTAGATTATCTAACACTACGACATCTCCTTCTTGCCAGTGGAATCCAACTGCCTCCTTCCACTGTGCAATACGAATACATGACATTTCTTCTTCGGAAAATTCTTCTCCGTCACCAAAGCTAGTGTGGAAGGGATACTACAATAAAAAAACGCAATAGTTTAGCTAACTCGGAAATATATGTCATAACAATAGGCTGTAAGATACGACAGTACACTACAAGCCATGGAGTCTATATATATAGACACACACA